CAAAGCTCTAGATTGAAATATTCCAGGGCACTTCATTGTCCCTCAGTGTCCCCCTGAGCCCCAGGGGAGGAAGGAGGGGGTTGTTTGTTGTTCTTTACCTCGATGTCTGTGTCCCTGCAAGCCTCCATGGCACTGCTGTCAGGGAAGTGTTTGTCATCACTCTCAACTGTCTGCCAGTAAAATCCCTTTGGCACTGCAAACGCCTTCTCCACAGCCTGAAATGCACAAAGGACAGCTCTCACTTCCATGTTGCCTTGGTCCCTTAAAATAAAGCAGGAAAATCAGGATCTTGTGGCCACAGAGCACACGAGGATGCAGCTGGTGGATTCAACTCAGCCCAGTGTTGTTAATTTATGTCATTTGCTTTCTTCCAGCTATTCTTGTAGCTCCATTTAAGTGATATCCCAAGAATATGAATCTGCAACTGCTTCCCAAGAGCCTGAGCATTCCAACCCAACACACAGAGCACCCCCAGCCATCACCAGGAGCTGCATCCATCAGCTGAGACCTCAATTCTCCACGACTGTGCTGAGCACTCAGCAGAAAAGGCCTTTGTGAAGGCAATGCTCTAATTAACCAACCAAATGGAAGGGTAGGGAAGGGATTGCATGAATTTCTACATGCCTGTAGCCAAAATAGCACATTTCTCCTGTGCTCATGTCACCACAAGTGACACATATCTGTTAGCCTCATCGTGCCACATTCTCATGGATAGGCAAAAATCTGGCATTTGGGTCACAGCTCCACACAAGCACAGCATTTCCCAGGCTCAGCACCTTATTTTGTTTTTCATCCATTTTCTGGGCAGCCAAGCAAGCAACTTGTACAAGTGCAAGGGTAAGGATGTGTCACTCAGGAGAGGAGAATGTGCTGTGACTGCACGCTCTGTAAGCAAGGCCACAGTCCAGGGACAAAGGCAACCCTTGAAAGTCACATTTGTCAGCTTCTGGTTAGAACATTCCAGAAATATAGATGCATTTAGGCAGAGTTCACGGTGGGCAGGAATCATTCCAGGGATCAAAAAATAAAATAGTCACTTTTAAAACACAGGCTCAGGTTAACTCAAAGAAACTTCACTACTTTTAAAGGCTTTTAAACTTTGATTTACTGCAGGTGTTAACTTGTCCTCAGTTTATGTGGACTGACCTTTTCAAAAAAACAGAAAAAGAAATTAATTTTCAACATGGTTTCATCAGGACTTTTATGATGGAGAGAAAAGGGCTAACCCTGCATGCAGAAGCATCCACTCTGCATTATGAGCTCCATATAATGCTCTTTAATTGTGTCATCACCTGAGAGATTTCGGGTGTGCTGCTTGGCAAATGACAGGCACTTCAGAGCATTCCACAAATGTTTCAAAGTAACAACCAGAAAATGAAATTCATTTGAATATTAAAGCCCCTCTGACAACTGCCTTTCCACTTCAGCAGCCTTTTATGTTGTCTCCTTCCTCTGTTTCCTGTGCTTCATGAGATATTTGCCTGAAATCAGAACTGGGGATTTCATTTTTACTCTGTTTCAGTCAAATCAACTGCACCAAACCAAGGGCTTTGGCATCTCCCAGTGGATCTGTGCATTCTGTCCTGCAATCCATCAATCCCCAGCCTCCACTGCTGACATTACACTTGGTTGCTGTGGAAAATATCATCAGAGGAAAAGGAGATTTAAGGAAAGGGATCTTCCCCATTGCCAGTGCATGATGCCAGCTCCTGTCTGCAGCAGTGGCACAGTGCAGTGAGCCCAGACAAGCCCTACAGAGTGGGAATGCAGCAAAATCCCAATTTCCTATTTCTTTCAGCTGTTCCTTGAACAAACTTCTTGTCTGTGAATGCTCTAGAAGGAAAAGAAGAGATAAATGTGCTCAAACCAGCACCAGCCTCTATTTCCATAGAAACCCGCAGGATAATCATCCAGCTCCAGGGCACAGGGGGGAAAATCCAAGGGGATTCCAGGGTGGAAATCAGGGCACAGGGGGGAAAATCCAAGGGGATTCCAGGGTGGAAAT